TAAAAATATAAATATTTATTAAGTTACCTATACCTATATATTTAGAACTGGCTAACTTCCCTCATTTCCCTATTTTGAAAATAAGGGAAAGATTTACTCTTCTTTTGTCCTAAAGAACTTTATTCATTCTGTAAGATAATGATTCTCTCTCTCTCTCTCTCTCTGTCTCTCTCTCTCTCTCTCCACCCGCCCCGGACTCTTTTACACTTAAAATTGTTGAAAATCTTCTACGTATATTATATCTATCAATGTTTACTACATTTGAAATTAACAGATTTTAGTATTATTATGAAAATAATTTTAATATTGTGGACCTCCTGAAAGGGTCTCAGAGACCTCTAGGGACCACTGGTTCACACTTTGAGAATTGCTTCTCTAAGATATCAGAAAAATATCTGACAAAGCACTGACAATGCATGAGCAATTATTACATTCACCAATTATTTCAGAATGTTATCTAGTTCTGATCATTTGAGCTACCAAAGAAAATAAGGGTTAAGCAGATCCTCTTATTCCTCTTCTTGTTTCTAACTTTGGCATTTTGTTTCTGAGGGTTTCCCACTATTATTCGGTCAACTTTTCCTATAATAATTTTAGTCCATGGGATCCTACCTATCCTTTCTCTGTACCTTCTTAATTTTGCTCTCCCAAAAGCTAGGATGCCTGCCAGTCTGTTAAGTCAAGGTAAGATCTAGAATATTAGTTCTCTTTGTCATTTTTCCTACTTTCTGAAGACTTAAATTATTCTTAAGGAAAGCCAAAAATTTATCAGCTACTCTGCTTTTGGCAGATAGAGTACTTGCAGATGTCCAGATTCATTATTACTAAGTCCTTTTTTTAAAAATACCTTTATCTTGGAATAATATGATGATATTTAGTATTCATAACCTGAATCATTATGAAACGTTCTACAAATATGATCAAGCCAACCTATCTGTCATGTGACTGACTCAACTAGTCAAAGAATAATTTTAAAAAATAAAACAAAAAAAAAACCCTAAACTCTGAACTTTGGCAGTTTGATTTGACAATTAACTTTGTTGATTGACTTAAATTCTTCCATTCAAATTAGACTCAATAAACAAATTTTGAGCACCTACTATGCTCAAGGTACTGTGCGAGGCACCAAGAATAAAACAAAACAAAACAAAACAAACAAAAACATTGCCTTTAAGGAGAATTATATTTTATTGGGGCAATATATCATATATAGTTAAGTAAACAGAAAGGAATTTGAATGGGTAAAGAATACCAGCAAACTATGAAGTTTGAGAAGGCTTTGTGAACGAGTTGAAAATTAAACTGGATCTAGAATAAAGATAAAGAATCTGAGACATGAAGTTAAGGATGAATAATATTCCAGGCATGCAACAGCGTGCAGAATATTAAGTTTCTTGAAGAGCTAGCAAGTCATCTAGTTACAAAGATTATTTTGATGCTTGTGTTGAGAATAAAATTGAGAAGGGAGAAGCCAGATGCAGGGAGACCAATAAGCCAAGTACAATAATCTAGATGAAAGGCAATGAGGGATTGAAATAGGATAGTGGCACTGCCAGTAGAAAGAAGGATGGATGCTAGAGATTTGTGGAGATAGAAATGACAAGAGAAGTGACTGGACACACAGGATGAAGGATAGAGAAAACTAAAAAAATACGATGAAACCCTGGGTGCCTAAAAAAACTCACCACTGAAAGAACAGTGGTGCCCTCAACAGAAACAGAGAGATTTAGATAGTCAGGTTTAAGGGGACAAAAAATGATTTGGGGACGTGTTGGACAAGTATAAACAAACTATCAGCATTTTAAGCTTCTGCTGTGTTTTACTACTGCCTTTATCTAAATACTCTTGAAGAGTTTTGTTCCTTATTACTAGAAGACAGTTAAAAACAATGTGACAAACACAGTGGAAAATAAAAATAGTGAAATCTAGGATATTTCTGAAAGTAAAGACTCTAACACAGGGCTTAATAAATACTTTCTGACTTAGCGGCCAACTGTTTAAAAGAATATCATGCAAAGGAAATCAGCTCTGTCTGAAATAAGAATATGTACATTTTTCTCTCTATACAGGTTAGTCATTTTGATCAGACTAGAAATCCAAAGTCCATCCTCAGGCAGACTCGGATTGGGACAGTTTTATAAGTAAAAATCAGTACATGGGAAATAAAAATCAATACTTTAAAATGAATTTAAATTAAATTGGATGAGATAATTATCACATGATTAACAAAACTGAGAAAACAATAATCAAAACATTCACCAGGAAAGGTTTAAATGATTTATAAAACAAATTTAAACACATTTAAAGATATATTTTTTAAGTACAACAAAACAATAAATAGTAAGAGAAGTCAAAATAATGCACCTTATTAGGTATAATCAAACCTAATTGGTTCAAATTCCATTACTTTGGAATTAATGATAATTGAGACATGCTGAGCTAAAGTTTTTCTCTGCATTACCTCTGAATATAAGTCAATAATTAATTCAGACATCAAGGATAGTAGGGGATATGAGTAGGGTTTAGATGATGACCTACAGTGGTTCAGAATTACTGGGATGTGTAGGGTATGACCAGGTGTGAGAATGTTCATCATAAGGGCAGCTAGGTGGCGCAGTGGATAGAGCACCGGCCCTGAAGTCAGGAGGACCTGAGTTCAAATTCAGCCTCAGAACAAACACTTGACACTTACTAGCTGTGTGACCCTGGGCAAATCACTTAACCCCAATTGCCTAAAAATAAAAAAAATTAAAATAAAAAAAAAAACTAAGGAGAATGCTTATCATTGAGTGGAAGGTATCATTTCTCTTCTCAAAGAAGGCTAGAGATTGGACTGGAAACATGTAGCACAAAGTGGAAGGCACAAGGTCAGATTAGGTCCTGTTTCACAATTCGTCGCCCCTCTGAAGCCTAGAGATTAGGCAGGAAATGCCACAGAAAAAAATGGAAGTTGAACCTATACAGTAGGAGATGAAAGTCTTACTCCCTACCAACATCCCTCTTAACTCTTCCCTCAAGTGATAGAAGCAGCAGCAGGAGATGGAAGAACTAAAATCAAAATTGCTCCTCTTTGCACCAGAGGTTCTCCACGTCGAGGTTGGGAGATCAGCCTGACAACAGGAAGTAGAAGCTGCCCTGTGCTGGCTTAAATTGAAGTTACTCCACTGAACTCTAGCAGGCTTTCCTCAGGGGACACATGAAGCAAGAGATGAAAGGACCTTGGTCAGAGAAAGGCCTTGCTTGTTTTCTCATCTGAAGCTAGATATCGGGCACACACAGTGGAAGCGGAAGTCTCCAGACAGAGAGAGGTGTTTGTAATTGATCCTAGAGGTAATAGGGAGCCACTGGAACTTTTAAGCAAAGGTAATGACAGGGTGAGATCTGTCAATTAGAAATATCACTTCAGCAGCTGTCTGGAGAGGTGAGAGATTTAACCAGGGAGACTAATTAGTGGGTTATTGAAATAGTCTAGTCCAGAAGTAATGAAGACCTGAATTAGAGTGTTTGTGGCATGAGTGGAGAAAATAGGATACATGCGAGAAATGCAGTGGAATTAGGCCTGACAAGACATGGCAAATGATTGGATATGGGAAGATAAGAGAAAGTGAAAAGTCGTGTGTGTGTGTGTGTGTGTGTGTGTGTGTGTGTGTGTAATAAATCATATAAACCACCCCCGCTGTTCTACATAAAAGGAAACTGATGTCCAGTGGCTTGACCAATTTCAGACATAGCTAATAGAGTTAAAGCTGGGTAACCTGAATTCTAAGCTAATGCTCTTTCCACTACACCTTCATTCAAGAAATATATATATATATATATATATATATATATATCTATTATGTCTATTAAGCCATATAAGGTTCCTTTAAGTGATGACCACTCCTGTTACATTTAAAGCACAATGCAACTTATGAATTATTTTTACCCATACCTTTAGAGGAATGAACGGATCGCTGAAGCAAATCATACCCATAGTTTAAAATATTCTCTATTATATCTATCAGCTGTCCATCCTGAAACTACTTCCTGTTTGGACTAGATAAGAATTCATTGAATTTATTTAAACTTTTGATGAACTAGTAATGTGCACAAAATTTTTTTTATTTGTTAATTTCTGCAGAACAATATTACATTTCCTGAAAATGCTATCCAATCAATACAAGACTGCTATGTATTTGTTCCTTTGGATCAGGTAAATAATCCAAAATAAGTATAATGACCATCAGCAAAGTAAGGTATGATATTATAATTAGTGGGTTACTATTATTTTAAGCTGCATTATAAAAACTTCTAAAACAATGAGTAAAGCACAATAATGATCTACTAGTAGAAATGCTGGTAATAAAAAGTACAATTATATCATGAGCACCATAAACAAAGACTTTAGGTAAAAATATTTAATTAATAAAAGGAAGAAAATGTGGCAAAGAAATCTAAGAGCAAAATTCATTTCTGGAAACTTAATATGATATTACCTAACATAGAAAGGATCTATTTCATCTTCTAGGAAACTCCTATCACCAACATTTATGCAATCTTCTATAGCTTAGCAGATAAATCTCTAGAGAGCTATCAGAGGTACAAAAAAGTCAGTTGACTTGCCTTGGGTCAAACAGCTAGTAAGCATCAAGCTATTCAAACTGACTCCAAGTTTCATCTACTACATTAAATGGTCTCAGTATAATATTAGGACAAAATGTATTTCACTGCTTCTGTCCAAGACAATTCTTTGAAGCCTTATCATGATTCTATACTCATTCTGAAATGCTGCCATCATAGGAAAATGGATCTTACAATTTGAAGAAATTTGAGTTCTAATTTCTGACTATGGGGTTTGGGAGAAATGCCAAGAAGGTTAAAATGATTCAGACCAAGGAGGAGGGCAATTCTCTTTGGAATACAGCCACAATATCTTAACATCCCTTAAATAAGAAAAGGCATTATGATAATACTACTAATAATAAAAGTATTTGAGAGAATTCTCATTTTCACCAAAATACCTAAGTTGTTTGCGTAGTTGCTCAATTTCCACGTTCTGTTCAGTTACTGTTTTCAGAAACTGTTGGTTAGTCTGAAAGGAAAAAAAATAGAAATTCAATAATGGCATATTTAAGACTGATTTTTAGGGATTAATTACAGGATAAGACAATGACTCAAAGATTCCTGTTAGAACAAGAATGAATAATGATGATTAAATTGACTTTGGGATTATGTAGGCATTTAAGTGAGACAATTTACTTCCAGGACTCTCAGGTAATGGAACCAACTTCCCTTTGTATCACTGATTTTATTACACTACTAAGGTCCTTATCATTTCACTTTTTAGATTGCAACAAATATTTAATAGCTGCCTCTAATCTCTTCTAACTCATCCACAACACATACTACCATCAGACTAATCTGACAAAACACTCTTTTCATCTTGCTACTGGTTAGCTACTTTATCAAGTTTAAACTCCTTTCTCCAATTTTCAACTGACAAATCAAATCAATCAATAAATATATGAGAGCCTATTTTGTTTAAGACATTACGTTAAGCACTGAGATCTACAAATGGTACACTATTCATTTATTCATTCAACGATAAACAATATGTACCTACTATTTACAGGCCACTGTGCTAGCTGCTGGAAGATTTGCAAAGTTTAAATAAGGCATGGAGTGTGATCTCACATAGTTTATAACTTAATAATACTTGACATAGGCTATACTTTAATAATTCAATGGATCTGTAATTTTATCCATGTAGATATTTCTTCTTTCAATGCAGATCACCCCAAATCTGACCTTCTGCACTTACAGTCTTCCCAGTGCCACCTGCTGCTGGTGCTTTCCCTTTGAGACTGTACTCCATTTATTCTCATTCTCTTTCTCATTCTCTCTCTTTCTTTCTCCCTCCCTCTCTTTTTTCTCTATATTTAATATCTGTATTATAATATATAATATACATATAATATCTACATAGATAGAAATAGATGACGGAGATTGTTATTTATATATTGTCTCCTCCATTAGAATGTGAGTGTCTTTGTCTTTTTTTTTTTTCATCTATAGCACTTAGCACAGTGCCTGGCACATAGTAACCACTTAATAAGTGCTCACTGATTGACAATTCATTAATGCTTTCTCATCTGATGTCCATATTCTCCATTCTCCCATACATCTTTCACAAAGGACAAAAAGTACTGACCTTTCTCTAGATCTTTTTATACTTCATAGGTGCAGTCAGATAAAATATATCAAAGTTAAGTCCATCAGAGAATTGCATAACAAAGTGTTATATTGAGTGTGAGGAAAAAGTTACTAAGAAGAAGAATCAGAGAAGACTTCATGAAGGAAACAGAATCTAAGTTAGGCTTCAAAGTCTGGACAGCAATGTGGCATATAAAAAGGGAGCCAGCATGGTGCAATGAAAAGAGCACTGACCCTGGAATCAGAGAATCTGGGTTCAAATCCTATCTCTGGCAATTTATTACTTCTGTGACCTTGAGCAAGACATTTTTACCTTCCCAGGCCCTAGCTTCCTCATCTCTAAATTAAAGAGTGAGACTAGATGGCCTCTTTGGTCCCTTCCAGTTCTAGACCTATGATCCTACCTAGAATTCTATGAAATTCTAGCCAAAAAAGTAGGAGATAGAGGATAAGCTTGGAAGGAAAAGAGTGGTCCAGTTGACTAGAATGCAGAATGAGTGAAATGATCAATAAAAGATAAAGATGGAAAGGAAAAGCTAAAAATAACTCAGTTTACTAATGTGGGATACCAAGTAAATGGTAGATTCACTGAAAAAAATAGCGAAGTCAGAAGGAAGAGAAGGTAATATGATAATAAGTTCAGTTTAGGACCTGTGGAATTTGAAGTGCCACTGTAACATCTAGGTGGAGATGTCCTGTCAGAAGTTGAAGATGTAAGTCTAAGAAGTTCAGACTTACAAGTCTAAAGCTTGTAAATTAGATTAGTCTGACAGTAGGATGTAGTATGGATTGAGAGGTCATGTTGGAGATATAAATGAATTGAGGTAGTAGCCAGGGCATATAGTAAAAATTAGGGGTTGATGAAGAAGATTTCCAGAACAGAATATAGAATTGCATGTAAGGAAAATAGTTGAAAGGACTGGTGTGAAATAAGACTTAAAGCAGAGACCAATAAGATGTCTACTGCAATAATCCAGGTATGCGTAATAAGAACCTGAACCAGGGTGATGTCAGTGCCAGAGGACAGAAAGGAGTATATCCAAGAGATATTGGGAAGGTTGAATCAATAGAACTTGATAACAGAATGGACATGGAGTGAGAGTGAGGAGTGAAGGATGACATCTAAGTTGTGAACTTGGATGATCTAATGTTCCTTCTAATTACAAATTCCATGATTTCCCTGTGATGCTCTTCTCTGATGACATTTGCCCAAATTGATCTCTTTCTTTTCTAATTCCACTTAGACTTTTTTGTAGCACATAATTAAGGCCTTAGCCTCAATATTCTATTTTCTAATACTGTACTGTATTATTTAGCACTTCACTACAGAATCATAGAATTTTAGAATCAGAAAGGATTTGAGGAGCTCTCTAGTCTAATCCATACCTGAAGGGTATCCCCACTACAACATATCCAACAAGTGATAATACAGCTGCATTCTGAGAAAGTCTGTTCTACTTTTGGACAGTTCTGTTAATAAGTTTTTCCTTATATCAAAAATGAAACCTTCCTTTTTGCAACTCCTACCCACCACCTTTAGTTTTGCCCTCAGGGAACAAGCAGAACAAATCTGATTCCCCTTCCAAATAACAGCCCAACAAATATTTAATAGTCACTATGTCCCATCTGCCCCCCCCCCCCCCCCCCCCCCCCCACTCCTAGGTCTTTTCTCCTCCGGGAAAACATTCTTAATTGCCTGAACTGTTGTTATGGGCTCAAGGCAGTATTACTAACATTGCAGTCCGGCGAAAAGAGGCTCTGGAGTGACCTTGGATACATCACTTAACAGTCTTGTGCTTCCTCATATGTAAATTATATAATGTCTTATCTGTTCATTGTTTACTGTAAAGATTTTGTTTTTCCAACTAGATTGTAAGTCCTTTGTGGGGATCACATCTTATATTCCCTTTGTATTCTAAAGCACCTGGCACAATACAAAAAACTTCAATACAACTCAACTGATTTCAGACAGATAAGCATTACTAAAATAAGGAATGAATTTTATACCAGCATGTCATTATGAAACGGGATGGTAAGTGTCCTAAATTATTGATGCATAAAGTCCAATAGTAAATATTTAAATATATTCCTGTATTTTTACCTAGCATTCAGCTAAAAACGTTTTATTTCTTACACATTATTAATATAAATTGGTGACAGAAATTTCCTAATTTGCTTATTGCATCCTTATCAATTTATTACATATCTATGAAATGAAAGTGTTCATTTAATGAATTTATCAATTATCTAATAGATTTACTCATATAATCAGAAAAAAAACATATTTAAGGATCTCAGGAAGTTTTTACAAACCAGAAGATACAGATCTGTCCCTCTAATCACATTCGGTAAAAAACATGTAATTTCTAAATCTGGTCTTATTCAACCAATATCCTTTATCCAATAGAAGTCTGGCTTTGTTTTTTGAAAAATATGTATATATATGTGTGTGTGTATATTTATACACATCTATACACATCTATACACATACACACACACGCACACACACACATTGATGATTCTCAAATCTTCTTATCCAGCCCTAACCTCTCTGCTGACTTCCCATTGTCTTTTAGATATCTCAAACTGGATGTCCAGTAGACATAAACTCAACATGTCTAAGACTGAACTCATCTTTCCTCCTAAAACCTCCAGCTTTCCAAATGTCCCTATTTCTGTTGAGGGCACCACTATACTCCTAGTTCCCCCCATGATTACAACCTCGATATTATTCTACACTCCTCACTACCTCTCACCTCTCTATATCCAATCTATTGCCAAGGCTTCAAGATTCCACCTTTACAACATCTCTCAAATACATTCCTTTTTTTCTTCTAATACCAATACCACTCTGCTGCAGGTCCTCATCTCCTCATGCTTAGACTACTGAAATAGACTTGCCAGTTGGTCTGTGGGCCACAAGTCTCCCCCCAGTCCATCTTCCACTCCAGTCCATCTTTCGCTCAGTCACCAAAATGATTTTAATTTAAGATTTAATTTAAAATTTAATATTTTCTTAAAGCGCAGGTAGGTGAGACCATATCACCCCCATAATCAGTAAACTCCAGCAGCAAATGTAAATTCCTCTATTTGGAGCTAAAAGCTCTTCAGAACCTAGCCTCCCACCCCCCCAATTTTGCAGTCTTTTTATACCTTGCACTCCCTACCTGTATTCCTTGATCAAGTGATACTGGACCTCTTGTGGTTCCTCAAGTAAGACCCTCCATCTCCCAACTCTAGGCATTTTCACTGACTGTTCCTCCATGCATGGAATGTTCTCCCTCTTCATCACCACCTTCATAGTTGCCTGGCTTCCTTCAAATTTCAGCTAAAATCCCACCTTCTATAGGAAGGCTTTCCCAATACCTCTTGATTCTAGCACTTTTCCACTTCTGAATTTTTCCTATTTATCCTGTATATAGCTTGTTTACACATAACTGTTTACATGTTTTTCCCCTTTTAGATTGTAAGTTCCTTGAGAGCAAGGACTGTCTTCCTTTCTTTGTATCCCCAGCCCTTAGCATAGTGTCAAGCACAAAGTAGAGACTTAATAAACATTTACTGATTGACACACCAACTACAAAAGTTTTTTTGCCAGTTTTCCATTGTTTTCAATGATTATATCATTATTCTTTTCTTTCTCTAGTAATTTCTAACTCTTTTTGATACTTGATATTCAGTCATTTTCTATCCTCATAGCAACATCCAGAGAAACAACTGTAGAGAAGTTAGCTCCTTCTAACCGTGGTTCTGTCTTGGACCCTTTTCTCTTACCACTCTTTTGCTTTGTGATCTCATCAACTCCCATGGATTCTTAAATCTGTTTAACCAAACCTAACCTCCCTCTTGACCACCAGTCTAGTATTTATAACTGCATGT